GACACATGGGCCTGACTGTGGACACCTGGAGCGTGGGTGTGCGTGCATGTGCAAGAGTGCACACCTGAGCCTAGGGGTGGGCTGAAAGCCTTGGGAGTGGCGGCAGGGAGAGGACAAGGAGTGTGACTACAGCAGAAGTGAGACCAAGAGAAGATGCGAGAAAGGCCAAAGAGGGCTCAGAGAAAAGGTGTGAAGATTCCTCGACAAAGGCGGTCTGAGGTTCCCCTCTGAGGTTTGGAGGTAGCAGGCACTCACGGAGTGATGGGGGATAAGGCGAGGAGAGAGACCAGTGATGACTCCAAAGAAGGCTGGACTAACTGTATTTCTCAAGTTGTGACTGGGAGAGTCACTGGAGTCCTCGCCTGAGATGTGAGCAGGGTGGATCTGGCTTGGCCTGAGGGGCTTTGCAGGACAGCTCACAGCTCTCAGATCCCCCCTCTGAGCTGACCTCTCCCCTTGCTGTGATTTTCTGCTGTGGTGCCTGCCTCACCCCTGGTGGCATTTTAACTCTGGACCCAAGACTGAGGTGGGTGAGCAGGACAAGCAGGTATGAGAACAACGTGAGGAATGGAGAAACCATGATAACCCGGGGCAGGAATCTGGAAGGGGCCTGGCTGCCCACTGCCTCTTCCTCGCAACATCTGCTGATTTTCCAAGAGTGTTCACATCAGGGAGATGAAAGTGGAAGATTTCACAGCCTTGTCACCCCAAGCCCCAAGAAGTCAGCCATGCTAAGTGGGACAGTGGGGTTCCTGGAGGAGTGTAGGGGCAGAGAAGCAACACCAGCCATGTCTTGATGAGTTAAAATTCTATGGCTGTCCCCTAACTCCTTGGGAATTCCTTGGAATTCCTTGGGAAGCCTGCTAATTGTGGCAAACTGTTAAATATGTTAACAGTCACCCTTCTTGCCCTTAAGTAAATAGAAATCATTTTGAAAGGAAAAAAAAAAGTCTCCACAGTCAGAAAAAAAAGAAAAGGGAAAGGCTGGAGTTTTCTGGTATCTCCCTGGTAAACTAGGCAGTTGTGTCTTCCTTGGGAAGGATGTGCACTGAGAAACACATCTGGACCACCACCATCTGCATTTTGATGTTAAAGTCATTGACTAGCTGAATGCAGTGCTGGTGGCCGTGATCCCTGCATGACACCAGCCAGCTTTCTAGGGGGCGTTTCCTGGTCTCAGGGCCTGTTTCAGGCCGCCAGTGTGATGGCATTCAGGAGAGAGGCTACACCCACTCTCGCCGGCTCCCACACAAAGTGGGGTTCACCATTCATCCATCCTCCCCTAACTTGGCTTTTAACGCTAAGTCAGGGGATGTTGTATAGACAAAAAAAAGGAAACTTGCACAAATGCATTGCTTTCCCCATTGCAAGATCAAAGCTGTTGAGTGACTTGGCCTGAAAAGGCTGCAGTTCACCCCAAAATGACCTCCAGGGAGCACCTGGTGGGGCTAGACGTGGCTTCCTGGCAAGGGAGTCAGTCCTCGACATGCAGGGCAGCTGGCCGGGTCTCCCCCAGGGCAGGTGGTGCTGTTCTTGGCACCTGTCTCTGCAGCAGCTGCAGGTGGGCAGGCTGGGTCCTGGCACTTGCTGTGCTCCAGGGCGTGTCACACGCAAGTGGTCGTGTCCTCACACTATCTCGCTATCATGGTGGAAAGAGAAGCGTGTGTGTGTGTGTGTGTGTGTGTGTGTGTGTGTGTGTGTCCAGCAGAACTGAGCTGGCCTTGGGGCAATGCACACACACCACCAGCTCAGCGCCCAGCACCGCCCTGGAACTCACTGGAGGGAGAGCACAGCGAGGATGCTGCATCGTCCCTGACTCCCCGCAGCCAGAGTCGCTCTGAGAACCACTCCCTTCAGAGGGAGAGGGAACTTGCGCGGCTCAGGCACACCCCTGCTGCCCCGAGACCCAGGCTGCCAGCTGGCAGGTCCCGGTAGGACTTTTCTTACTTCTGACACAATCTCCTGTGACAATTTCCCAGTGGCCTCCGATGCCATCGCCTCTTGGAGAGCCATCCCACTTCACGTCCCTGGTTTCTTCTCTGTTGACATGAAACGCTAAGTCCCACTTGAGTAGAATTTTCAGAATGAAAATACTGCTGGGGCCTTCCTGGTGGCACTGGGGTTGTGTCGGCACTATCATGGTGACAGCAGCAGCATGAGTTCAGTGCTATCAAGCTATCGCCAGGTACTGTGGCCTGAGTTCCATCCCCAGCCAGGGAGCTGACCCACATGGCCCAACAGACCTCTCCTGTCTCCTCTGCTGCCCCCCTCAGCAGTGTTTCAGCCAGTCCACCTATTCTGCTCCCACTCTGTCTCTGGTGGATTTCAGCGCCCTCTTTGTCTCCTTGTCTGAGTGACCTGAGATCAGCCTTGGCCCACTCAGGGCTTCCTTCCCATTAGGCAAAGGCTGTGATGGGAATCCACAGACAACATCCTGGCGAAGTCTTCAGCAGCGTCTCAGAACACGAGGCACGTTAAACCTCAGCTGGTGCTTCGTGACCTGGCCGTGAGGTGACGTGATAGATGACATGACAGGCACACAGGGGGCCACGTCCCTGTGGCTGGGGTGTATCCTGCAGCTACTGAAGTGGTACCATTAGGGTGAGCATGTCCTACTGAAGTGGTACCATTGGGGTGAGCATGTCCTGGGATTGGCTGAGCTGCCCTCTTGGCCTGCTCACATGGGCCTGGCATTTCTGGCCCACACAGAAGTTTTCACCTTCCCATTCACTGCTCCTGATATCTCAATTCTTCCTCACACAGGATTGACAGTCCCATGCCTCCACACAAGCTACTTTTGCTTATAGAAGTAAAAAACAAACATCCTGCATGACCTGCACATCCCCAGGCTGGCTATGTCTCCCACTTCACCTGATTTACCACAAGCTTCCCTTTGCCCATTCCTTCGTCCATTTCACTTGTGATATGCCAGGAGCAGGCTGCTCTGAACACGTGGTTTTTGCTTTAAAGCACTCCCGGTCTAGCATAAAGACCTGTAAAATGCTCAACATGCAACCTGTAAGGAGGTAAAATCCACACGAGGGGCCTTGCCAGGGCACTGCTGTTGGACTTTTTCAGCAGAAGCAGTGGGTTTGTTGGATGAGACCATGAAACACCTCACAGGGAAGAGGAGCTTTATCCTGGGTGCTCGATAGGAGACAAAGAATGCAGTAGGCAGATGGCAGAAAATGTTCACGAGTCAGGTTGAACACAATAAAGCCTCGGCCCATGACTTGTGAGCTGAGGGACGCACATGGGCTTGGAGAGCGTGGGGGAACATGGGCAAGCGGGTGCGGAGAGGCTGCATGTTCCATTCTGCCTTCATGTCTCTGTACCTGGGCCGGACCTTATTACTAGGTCTGGACAGCCCAGGCAAAGAGTGGCCCAAAAGATACAGGGACTCACCTTGCCTGAGGACACAGACACAGGGAGTCTTGCTGGGGCGCATGGCTGTGAGGTAGTGTCCTGCTGAGTGACAAGACGCATCTGCACTTGTAGAGGCTGAGCCCACAAGCAAAAGGAGCAGCAAGCAGGGACGGCAGGTAAAGGAGAAAGCAAGGTGGCCCCGGGAAGCCCGACTTCTGGCCAGGGGTTAAGCCAGCTGCGCCCATCAGCAGCCTTTGCCCTTCAGTCCCGAAACAGCCATCCCACTGGCTCAGCACAATTGAGCTGGCAGCTGCCAGCAGTGAAGGTGTCATCACCATCGAGCTGTGCATGGGATGTGTGGGACGCTGTGGGGAAAAGGAGGCTGGAGAAATGTTTAGCTGCTCATGTTTGAACACAGACCAAAGTGTGTCACAGGCTCTCAGAAGTTGCCCTAGTGGATGAGATGGAAGACAAACCCAAGAAGGCCAGTCAGGTGCTGCTTCCATGTTCCAGAATGGAGCCCTTTGGACTTGGGTTTCCTGACTGCGTGAGCACCCTAGGCCCAGCTCCCCTTCTCCTGTGGGGTCTTTATGCGCTGGCAACCTGAACAGCCCTGTTCTACTTTCACCACGTCTCTGACCAGGAGCTCGACTTCAGAGGGCCTCAGGAGTGGGCCCACCCAGAGGGTTTCCAAGTCTGTCCGGCTCCTGGCCAGTCAAGTGGCTGGCCCAGGAGCCTCTTCTGGAGAACAGCTGCTTGAACACACTTCCTGTGGCTGCATTCCAGCTCCCCACTCCCCTGCCAGATGAAAGCTTCCTGGGGGGGTTTCTGACTCATCTTGGAAACCTTCAGTAGCTGACAAAACCTACACAAAACCAGGAGCCGAAGTGCTTTACTGCGTGATTAATGGTGGAGACAGATGTGTACACACGATAAATCCCCCTAGTTACCGTCCAAACATATTCTCTCCATGAAGAACCCTGTGGCTGAGAATGGTGAAGGGCAGCAGATAGCCACCGGCTGGGGCTGCTTGGTTCCCCTACACTATCTCCCTGATTCCTTTTAACCCAAGGCATCAAAGGGCTGCGATCATTTTCAAATACAAGACAGCCTGAAGTGTGTGATTCTACAGAAGTCACAACTTGTGTTGTCCTGCTCCCCAGGAGTTTCTATAATAGTTCCCCTCTATTCAGCAAGCACCCGGCAGCCCAGGGGAACACACTTCAAACAGTTTTTTCATCCCAATAATTAGAAATGCTGATCAGACTAACTCCTTTTATAGCCGTTCTGACAAGATGTTCTGTCCTATGAGGCTTCCTTGCCTTCTAACTATTTAAAAACACCAGATTCAGAAATATTTTTTTAAACCATGTCATTAAAACAACATGGAGCCCGTTTGCTTGGGAAGATGCCGGCACCAACTTCAGGGTTCAGACTTTGGCTTCCCATCGGCCTTGAGCGCCTCGCTCTGAGCTAACGGAAGTGGCCTCTGGAATCAGACATGCCTGGAAACCCACACGCTGTTGTGAGGACCTTTCTCAGGGATGCCCCACCCAGCTCCGAGGAGCCTGACGCTCCCTCCGGGCCCCTCAGTTCAGGGGTGGGATAGATGTAAGTGCGGAAGGCAGTGTTACCTCAAACATCCCGTGACGTTGTAGAATATGTCAAAATCGAGCAGACCATTTGCTTTGGGGTAGTCTCCTTCCGGCCACCCCGAAAAGGGGATGATGATGTTCTCCGTCAGGGTGAGCAGGGCTTCTGTTATCATCATGTGCTTCAACTTATCGTTGGAAGACAAATTCCACAGCAAACCTGGAAAAGCAAAGGTGCCGTCAGAACACAGCCAAGAAGGCTGGAGCCGGCAAGGGGTCCCGGGGGAGCCTCTTCCCAGAGAAAAGAGCCCGCCAGAGAGAGAAGCTGCTCCATCGGAACAGCCAAGACAAGGGGCCAGAGAGGCCCACATGCAACCGCCAGGCCAAAATTGACCAGCGCGCCTGAGAAAGGCAGGAGCACTTACACACTCACTGTGGTTCCTCCTAGAGGACCCAACAAGAAGCTGCCCTCACTGGGCCTAACGAAACCCGGTTCTTCAGCAGGGAGGCTTGAAAGGATCCTATCGTACCTGAGGCTTCAAGCATCAGGTCGCTGCGCTGTCCCCTCCTGCTCAGACATGCGGAGACAGAGCGCCCGGCCCTGGCTCTCCAATGATACCCTGTGCCCGGCCCAGCAGGAAGCGTCTGAGGCCCCTGCCCATTGGTCACCAGCAGGCGGGTGGGCTTCACCACCAGTCCTGGTCACAGCCGCCTCGTGCCGGACGCCATGACCTCCCAGAAGCGACACTCCTCCTGTGGGCATCTTAGTGGGCAGTGAGGGGTGGACACTGGGCGAGAACGGCCACGCCCACTCCTGTAAGCTTGCCGCCCCTGCACGCGGGCAAGGTAGGAAGAGAGAGCGAGAGCAGGGGCCCAGCCTGTGCTGGAGGACAGCTGGGTCTGGGCGGGGCCACGAGGTGGCAGATACTTGGAGGGTTTGCTCACAACTTTGGGACGTAAGTCCCCTACTGCAGTGGAGGTCTGGGGACCCTGCCCTGCCTCAGCAGGGCACACTGACAGACAGGGAGGGCCGACAGACAGAGGGATGGCTGAGAAGAGACCGCTCCTCCTTCGCTGCCCCGCTCACCCTCACCCTCCACAGCTGTCAAGTCAGTGACCGGCGCCTTGGCCACTGCTCTGCAGGGAGCAGTGAAGTGGTCCGGCACCCAGGACAGCCTGCCTGGTGGAAACAGCAATGAGGCCGTCTTGGCTGAAGCAGGCAATGGCATCACCGCTCCTGATTTTAATGACTAAAATAAAAGTCTGCAGGGAAAGCTCACTAATTGTTCTGCCATCCTTTGTTTGGCCTTCAATTAGATCCTGATGCTGGCTTCTGGGCTTGACTGGTTTACTTTGGCTGCGTGCAAATAACTCATTTTGAAACAATAACTGAATTTCCAGGGCAGCCCACAGGGTTCAACCAGGGACAGTGATAGACACCAGCATGCCTGCCTGTGGGGACGAGGACTCTGGCTCCAGGAGGCCTTTCCAGATCAAACCAGCATTTGGGGTTGGTTGAGAGCAGGGTCGCCCAGCACCAGGGCCAGCAAGCCAATCACTTCATTTGGTCTTCACAGACCCTGGGGGGTGAGGAGGGGGTGGACAGACACAAAGAAACTCTGAAGGTGGCTGGAGACAATTTGAAGGCAGGTCTGAGGTGGAGGTTTATTTACCAAGCTACAAAAGAAAGTGAAATCGAAGAGAAAAAGAAAAAAACAAAAGCTTCCAGTTCTAAATAAGCAAACAAATTAACAGTCTCTGCTGCCAGAGGCTTAAAATGTGAAGCCTAAAGAACATTCCTTCTTTTTGAAAAGGGCCACACAGAGCAGTCACAGGGAGAGCACAGGGAACAATGGGAACCAGAGGCTTAATCTGAACAAAGGGAGTGGAACTTTCCTCCAGCAGCCAACATCCCTTGCAGCTGGCATGCTACATTCTGTCTACAGAAGCCTATGGTTTGGGGCATTTTAGTCCAACTTTTAATGTAGGCTATTGAATAGAAAGCCTCGCTTGCCACATTTCTGTATGGCACGATGCTGGGGAAGAGATAAAATGTGCACTGGAGATCTGAGGTGGCCAGATCTGACTTGCTGACCAGCACACCCTCACAGTCACACATGAAGTCAAAGTGACCACTTCAAGCTGGGAAGATGGGTATGGCGTGAGACAAAGGGGAGGACCCTTCATCTAGAGAGCTTATGATGATTAAAAATTGAGGCCCTCCCTGGTGGCCCAGCGGGTTAAAGCAAAGCACTGAGAATCTAAAGCCGCTTCTGCATGAGTTCGATTCCCGCCTGTCCCGGAGGTGACCACATGGCGCGGCAGACCTCTCCTGACCTGCCCGCTGCTCCCTTCAGCAGTGTACTTCGTGGATCTGCCTGTTCTGCTCCCCACTCTGTCTCTGGTGAAGTCTCTCGCCGCCCCTGCTCCTCTGGCCTGTACCCCAGTTCTGTATGCACAAATAAATAAATCTTTAAAAAAAAAAAATTGAGTCCCTGGGAGAAAAATTCACCCAGAGCTAAAAACTATTAGCATGTAACATACGCAGGAAGTCAGCTTCTCTGGCAATGAAACACATGCAAGTTAAGCAGCTGCTTACTCTTTCTTGACTGTAGAGAGCAAGACCAGAACCAACAGGTGGAATTGCTAGAGGAGATTTTGGCTCACAGAAAAAACAAACTTTTAAAAGAACTTTCAGGAAAACAGGAAGAACCTGCTGGTATGACCCAGCTCTGATCTGTATAAAAATACAGACCTCAGGTTTTATCCTGAAACGAGATTGCTCCTTCCAAAGAGCAGCTTCCAAAGGAGCTCAGTGGCAAATCAGAGACTCCACTCTTGGGCCACACCCCACATTTTCTAAGTGAGAACCTCAGGATGGGCTCCAGGACCTTGTATTTGAAAAAGAAGTCCCTTTGTCTGGGATCAGGAAAAGAAAGGCCTGGAGGACGCTGGAGATGCCCTTTGGGTGATCATATCCCAGCTTCCCTGGGATATGCAGAGCCTTGTTTTCCCTGACCTCACCTTTTAACTTCTGGCCAATTTACTCACAGTGCCTAAATTTCTATCATTATAGTTCTTTGTTAAAGCTGGTCTTCTTATAATTTTCTATCAAGATGCTCTTGTGCTAGCCAAAAAGAAAGGGAATGGGGCCTCCCTGCTGGCCTAGGGGTTGAGTCTTAGCACTGTCACTGCTGAGGTCTGAGTTCGTCCTTGCCAGGGAGCTGACCCACATGGCTCAGCAGCCCTCTCCTGACCCGCCCGCTGCTCCCCTCAGGAGTGTACTTTGTCAATCTGCCTGTTCTGCTCCCCACTCTGGTGAACCTTCTCACCACCACCTTCCCCCTCACCTCTGGCCTACTTCCCAGTTCTTCTATGTATATATAAATAAAAATAAATCTTAAAAAAAAAAAAGTAGGTACCGAAAACTGCATGACCCAGAAATATATTACCAACTGTGACATCTGCAAAACCACACTGTGAAAGGGGATCTTCTCGATATGAAAACCCAGATTTTATTAACCTCTAGTACCTCTAGGATGGGAAATACAGTCTGATTAAAGGCATCCTTAGTTAAGTACAAAGGCAAGAGTGTGAGGTTGAGGAGTTGACAGAGAACCGACTGTTTTTCACATGATCACAGAGCAGGAGTGACTTAGTTTACTACTTCCCTTGCCTGAATATGTCCCTTCTCTCACCTAAATTTTATAAATCCTATCTAAAACAGCACACTACTGCAAAGACTTTTTATTCCAAGTTACAGACCCAACGTACATGGCTACATTGATATAGAATAAATAATAAGTGATCATTTTTGAAAGGTGCATAATTATTTAAAAGTGTCTATTTAATAGCAATCCAATTAAATAATCTTGTAAATACAAAGGGTCGACATGCAGTTTATACAAACCTCGTTTCCCTCCACCCCAGACTCCCCCAAATGCGGGACAGGGATCCTGGCCCTGCCGGCCCTGTTTTGTTTGCACCAGGGCCTGCCTGTCTGCCCCCCTTTGAACCCAAGCAAGCTTTCACTCCCCAGCAACCTTGTAGATGAGCCTCTGAGCTGCAGATGAGCTGTTCCCGTGGGCACAGGAGCACACACCCTGGTGAGTGGGAACAGTCTCGGTGTGACGGTCTTAACCTGGGTCCTTCCACCTGGGCGGGGCGCGCTGCCCTCCTTCTGGGGTGAGAACCCCACCCAGACACTCCCAGGATGGTAACTCCAGGAGGCTGGGATCTGGACTCCCTGAATGGGGGCCTCTGGGGAGGGGTGAGGTGGCTTATAAACAGAGGTAAGGTGAAGGAGGAGGGGAGGCAGGGGACAGACACTGGGAGGCCACTCCTGGGCCTGGGCAGGGCCAGGGTAGCATTATGTTGATTGCATGCTGGATTTGCATTTTGGGTCTCTCCTTCTGTCCCAGCCTCTGCGGCTGACCTCACCCTTTTTTGTGTTCCTACCAGAAGGTGCCGTGGACTTTTGCCAGTCCTTGGGCCTCAGCTGTCCCACTCTGAGATCAGCCTTTTGGCTAGGCTTGTCGATGAGAAGGTGTGTGATTTTTGGGTTTAGCAGAATCTGTTATTTGAACGTCTTTCTTCTCTCTCAATATCTAGTCCACTAAAACTCTCTCACACGAAGAATATGCTTTCCTTGCCTTTGAGCATATTGATGGCCAGATTCCCTATTTTAGACCCCCTCTAGCCCTAACTGAGGGGCCTCCAAGTCCCCCTCCATCACACACCTGAAGGATGAAAGAAGTGGGAAGCTAATATAAAGGGGTGCCCAGGGCATTTCCTAAAGCTGTGCTGTGCAGAGCAGGCCTCAGGGGGCATTGCAAAGGTCACGCACATGTGAAGATGCTAGTGGAGAAGTGACCCCCAGGACGGCAGCCAGGGGGGTGGTTCATCAGGTGCTGGGTATGAATAGGGCGCCAGGCCAGCACAATGGCCACTATGGTGTGAGGACGAGAGACAGGCTGGCCGACTGCAGGCTCTGCAGCTGCTGGCTGGGGAGGGTCAGCAGGCTCGTGGGGTAAATGCCCAAGCAGCAGCAGCAGGGCCTTTATAGGGGGTGGAGCAGGGTGCAGCGATGACTGCATTGCAAAAAGCAATCAGCAGAAGCAGAGCGGATAGACTGGGAACTGAGTCTCAGTCACGAGGCACATGGCTCTGGGGGACAGACAGAGGTGGAGGCTCGCCTGAGGCAGTGGTCAGAGAGTGAGGGTCAGCAGAAAGCCCCTTCAAGCTGGCTCAGAAGTGTAAAACTTCCCCAAGAAGTGTAAAACTGACTCAGCTCTGCCCCAAAGGTGTGGGTGGAAGTCACTTAGTGATACAAGACACCAAGACAGAAGTGGGTAGTTTAAACCTGGGCTTTGTTCTTGGCTGGTTGTGCAATCTGGGTAATTTGTTTATCTGCCTGCCTCCCCCAGCTCCAGGCTGGTTGAAGATGAACTGTCCACAGCACCTAAGGCAGCTGGCAGCTAGCTGGAGGAAGAGCTGAGAAATGAGAGTCCCAGAGAGCTGTGAGCACCAGCAGGAGCTCCGAGAAATTGACCCAGCAGCAGTCCACTGTGAGCCCCTCACGTCTCTAAACTGAGATGGAAACAGCCTGATGTCATCAATGCATTTCTGAGGGCCCAAGGCACTCCCTTCGCTCGGGTGCTGACTGAGCTTCAAGGAAGTCACTTAGAAGGATTTACTTCCAGCACTGTGACAGCAACCCCGCTGGTCCCAGGAGAGATGTCAGGCTGGCCTGCTCTAGCTGCTGGTTATCTGAGGGGATTATCCGATGGTTTCTGTGACATCAGGACCACAGATCGCTCTCTGACCTCAGCTCCACACAGCCTGGGAGGAGGAAATGAGGCCCAGTGGGCCACTTCCTTGACATGTGTCCAGGCCTCCCCAGCTCTCCAGCCACCACTTCTGAGTCCCACGCACTCAACAGCCATGCTTCCACCAAATGACTTTTGGCTTCTCTGCTCTGCTAGCGATATTTACTTTGCCATGAATAACTTTCATTCTCCTTCAAAACACCAATCCAAAGCCTATCTACATTCCCTTTTAGGCCCACAAGATTATGTCTTTTCTGCCTGAACAGGTTAGTCTGATACTATATTTTAATGAAGAAAAGGTAAGGTCTGGTCCTCGATTAGCTAATACATTCACAATCACCTAATCTAATTATTTGTAATGAAGAAATAAAACATCAACCATCACCTGGCCGTTCCTGCCTTAGTAGACAGAAAATAGGACCCATGACCACGCGAGGCCGCGATGGCCACTGCTGGACACTTGAAGCTGCTCTGTAACTGCCGGCTGAATGAGCAGATGGAATCAGCCCAGCTGCTTCATTTGCCCTGAATGTGGAGGGACAGAAACTCTGACTGGACTGGGAGGATGCTGGCAGGGGGCACAGCACCGCCCTTCACAGCTCCATGAACTTAAAAATGTATCAAGGTAGAAAAACTGGTATTTTAAGATAAATGGACATAGAATATAATGACAGAAAATGTTATAGAAAAGTCTGTATAATAAAGTGAGGATAGTAGAGGTGTAATACAAAATTCCATCTAAAGCACCTAAGGCTCCTTTTTTTTTTTATTTTTTTTAGATTTATTTATTTATTTGTACAGAACTGGGGTACAGGCCAGAGATGCGGAGGGTGAGAGGATTCACCAGAGACAGAGCAGGGAGCAGAACAGGCCGATCGACGAAGTACACTCCTGAGGGGAGCAGCGGGCGGGTCAGGAGAGGTCTGCCACGCCATGTGGTCACCTCCTGGGCAGGCGGGGATCGAACTCATGCGGAAGTGGCCCCAGTTTCTCAGTGCAGTGCTTTAACCCACTGCGCCACCAGGGAGGGTCCCTAAGACTCCTTTTTAATTAAGAAAGATAATTAAACTGTCAACAATAATCACCAACATGATCACCCAGTATCAGTTGTTAATATGACATGTTAAAGAGTCTTAACTTTTTTGAGTTTCCTCAGAGGCTCAGACTGAATATCTAATACCTAAATATTTTAGAAAAGTCAAGGTTTTGTGAAAATAGTATATATAATGTGTATATATATGTGTGTGTGTGTGTCTACATTCATTTTAAATTTATGTTTTTTATAACATATACACTTTAATTTCACATTTTTTTTAGTGTAGAAGAACCCAGAGGTGTTGGAGGTGGGGGTGGTGAGAGGGTTCACACCAGAGACAGAGTGGGGAGCAGAACAGGCAGATCAACGAAGTACACTGCTGAGGGGAGCAGGGGGCGAGACAAAAGAGGTCTGCCGTGCCATGTGGGTCAGCTCCCTGGCTGGGGATTGAACTCAAGTCTTAGAGGTGATAGTGTTGGACTAAATCCTTGGAGGCCCTGGTAAGGGGAGTTTTTAATTAAGCACAGTGGGCAATTTGGACATGGTCTGAGCTGCAGCAGAGGCCAGCAGGGGCTGACTTCTGGAGTAACAGCTCCGCCCCACTCCCCACCCCCGGTCCCTCCACCCCCTTCCAGGATACAGAGGGGAAATCCAGAAGGCAGGGGGCCGGAGCCCACCCTGGCCGCTCCCTCTGTGGGCCCTACCTGTGATCTGCTTCTTGGTCTCCAGGTCTCTGGTGTGCCTTAGCACCTGCAGCAACCGAGGGACCCCACTGAGCTCGGCCACCTCCATCTTGTTGTCGTTGTCCTCAAACACCAAGTTCCTCAGGGCCCCGCACGCAGCCCTCTGGACGTCCTCACTCTGGACTTTGAGCAGCTGCAGGAGCTTGGGGATGCCGTGAAGCTGGTTAACCTGGGAAGAAGCACCAAAGAGAACTCTGATGTACACATTCCCGATGTGGTCTCGTCTGGCATGGCAGGGGAGATGTCCAGTGTCATGGGGGATAGAGGAGTCTGCCGAGGTGGGCGGGGGACTCCCACCAATCAAAAACTGTGGGTGCAAGCTGAGCCCAGGGTACCCAATGCACCCTGTGTGTGCAGGATCTCCCGGGGAGACACACACAACAAAAGGGGGGGCGAGGGGGTGGTTGTCAAGGCTGAAACCTATGAGAGACGTGAAGGCTCAGGGGTGGACAGGTGGACACAAAGGACCAAGTGAGAAAAGTCTCGAGCATAGCATAATAGACTAAGAAGCAGAGAACCAGGGATCCGGGGCATGGCAGAGGTTTTAGGGTAGAACATGCCATCCCAAGAGCGATGTTTGCTGGCATAACTGTACTGTCAGCATACACTGCTCAGAAGCCATCCCCACCACTAGTAATAACAATTCATTTACCACAGCAAGTAGTAGCAGCCATGCAAACGAACCCTACATGTGAGCTGTTCTTGAGATGAGTGGCTGTGAATATTTAGAAAGATTTCTATAAATGACACCAGCACTTTAAGTAAACAACATTACACATTTAAACACGCCATTTAAAAAGTATCTCTTCTACCCAAACACACAAGAAAGGGCAGGTCATTAAAGAAGCAGAAGGCCAGAACCAGGAGCAGGACAGGAAAATGGGCGGCAGATTCCAGTGCTGCCTTTTAGGGAGTCAGCACTGTCAAAGTATTCCAGGGGTGGACGCAGCATCTGGAGAAGGGCTGAATGGCCCAGGCTTTCCTCGTCACAGGCTCCTGTCAGCACCTGTCTGTGAGTATTTCAGGGGTAAGAGCTTCCCATATAGACCTCGGCCATTTTCACCATCTCCGTGTGGGGATTTGGGGGGAATAAGCTGCCATGAAGCCAAGATTTCAAGAAAATCTACATTATAACTACAAAAATAAGCCCAGAAATGGCGAAGTGACAGCTTTCTCCCCATGTCTCTGTCTGGGGGTGCAGAAAGTGCTGAGTTCGATGCAGTCACCAGATGGACCGACGCACGGCGTGTGCGCTGAGGGGAAAGGCCGCTCCCAGAGGTGCCCACAGAGCCCCCCGCCCAGGTGCCCACTCACCCTCTTGCGCGCCTCGGCCTTCTGGAAGCACTCGTGCTGGATGAAGGTGGCGGCCGCGCAGATCCTGGCAGGCGGTGTGTGGTCTGGGTCCAGCATGCCCACGGCTCGCTCCAGGGTCATCTCCATGTCCAAGTTCCTGTGCACACATGCCCAACTTCACAAACGTGCACAGCAGCCCCTCCCACCGCCCACTGGGAGCTGACAGCCTGAGCTCGGCCCTGCTCCTGCCAGGGGCCGTGGGTCAGCGCCCAGATCAAAGGCAGGAGGAGATTCAGCTTCTTCAGAGCCAGGAAGACCTGCTTCAGGACTCGGAAGGGTCATGACCCATGGTCAGAAAGGGCCTCTGTTCATGATAAACAGAGGGGGAGTAAGATTCCAGATGACATTTGTGAAAAATATGGTCACAAGGGGGAAAAAAAATAATAATGATGAACAATATATCAGAGACATTTTACAGGGGTGGAGTGGAGAATGGGATCAAAAATGGGGGTGGGGGGGCGTGCACGGGACTATGGTGATGGCACATGAGTGAACTGGTGATGGGACGTCCATGGGAATTAACAACTGAGCTGGAATAGGGCACAAAGTGATGTAAATATAAACTAATAAAAAAAAAAAACCTGGTCACAGAAGTTAAAATTCACTCCAACTCTGGATTGTCACACCTGGAGAGAAACTACTGCATTAGATTTTTTTCTCCCAACTGCTCAACACCTGTTTTTACCAGAAAGTGAGTTTTGTTTTGTTTTTCTTTTCGAAAAGGATTCTAAAAGTGTTCTTAATTGATGACTACATCCGTGTATAGGTAGCGCAAGGCAGGGGTACAGAGTTTGTCATGTCACTAGCGTCCTGGTGAGGCAAGGCCCACAGGAAGACTCAAGGACAGACTCCTCAAAATGAACCATTTTAGGACCCGCCCTGGTGGCGCAGCGGGTTAAAGCACTGCACTAAGAAGCAAAAGCCACTTCAGCATGAGTTCGATCCCCGCCTGCCCTGGAGGTGACCACATGGCGGGGAAGACCTCTTCTGACCCACCTGCTGCTCCCCTTGTTACAGGGCACCCTCAGCAGTGTACTTTGTCAGTTAGCCTGTTCTGCCCCCCACTCTGTCTCTGGTGAAGCCTCTCACCACACTTGCACCTCTGGTCTGCACCCCAGTTCCATATGCATAAATAAACAAATCTTTAAAAAAAATGAACCATTTTATGTTCACCCGGTGGCCCTGTCCTTGGCAGACGTGACGCCGCTTGGCTTGTGTCTCCTGTGAATTCCTGTTCCCCCACTCACTCCCTGAAGGCACCTATGGTCACGACAGAGCCCGGGCTTTGGGCACAGAGGAGGGCTTCAGAGCAGGTGAGAAGTGTTCCTGGTGAGCTTGAATTCTCCCACAGAAGCTGCTGTTTCCACCCTGTGTCTTCCGGCACTCTCGTCCACTAAAGGCATGGTCCCCGCTGGCTCCCTACTGCTGGACCCACCCCCTTGGAATCTGGAGGGCGGCCCTGGGGGAGAGCTTGGCCTCAGGGGCCCAGCAGGACCAGCCTCCAACACTTGGGCCAAAGTCACCAACAGTCACTGAATCCACTCAAGTAGTGGGGGCGCCCAGAGAGCGCATGTGAGGGCGTGTGTGTACTGGGAGGCAGCCCAGGCCCGGGGAGGGAGGCCGCGGCTAGTGCCCTCTGCTTCGGAGATGCAGGTTCCAACACAGAAGCTGCCGTGTGAGAAACCCAGTACGACGGCCTGGCAGCCACAGCGAGGCTCCAACCATGACCTCATGTTCTCAAACGTTATGCCTGGGGAGTCAATTTAATTGGGGAAAAGTGGAGGCTGTTACCATTAAAACCAGAATTTGAGTCATTTTTTATTCAATACAAACACACCTTTTCAAAGAGATGGAAACACGTTCCATGCCTTTACGGAGACATCAAGAGGCTAAAATCTCAACCTCAGCGACAATCCTAACTATCAACTGTCTCCATCTAACAGGAGCTTTTGCTGAGAGGAGATCAGCCCTAACATAAGAATAGCTCCTGTTTAGTGCAGCTTTAAAAAAAAATCTAGTCATTAATCCATAAGTCATAAATGACTCAGGACAGTTTGACTTTTCCAGATTTAATAGCACCCCAAATAATTCCATTACTCTAGCCCTTTCTTTTCCTTAATGTGATTCACAATTAGCTCTGCTGCCACCCCCACCTGCCCCATGCCCCTTCACAGTGTCGCTGCAACAACTCCCAGCTGAACTAAGATTCTCTGGCAAGAAGCTCAAATACAGGCCTGCCTAGCGGCGCAACTTGTTAAAGTGCAGCACTGCGAGCTAGCCGCAAACACTTCAGTGGGAGTTCGATTCCAGCGCCAGAGGTGACCCACATGGCACGGCAGGCCTCTCCTGACCCACCCGCTGCTCCCCTCCAGTGTAGTTTGTCAGGCGGCCTGTTCTGCTAGCGACTCTGTCTCTGGTGACTCCTCACACTGCCCCTGCACCTCTGTCCTACACCCAGTTCTGTGTGCATAAATAAATCAATCTTTTTTAAAATAAAAAAAAAAAGCTCAAGTACTACAGGGCCTGTCCCCAGACTGCCCCCCCCCCCAGTTCCAGCAGGGGCGGCCCACCTGGCCCCTCTCCCTCAACCCTCCCTGCCCATCTTCAAGTGCTCTCGTCCACCAAGCACGGCCTCCCCCAAGGGCTCCCCTGCTGGGCCTTCCTCCACAGGAGGCCAGGCTGTCAGGCCCTAGGGCACAGCCCCCGACCCCAAGATGGAGGAAGCATGGCTTCGGAGAAGAAATGACCCTGAGTGGTCATGGGTTTCCAAAGATGGTTCTGAGGGTGTGACTGAGCTTCAGTGGAGGCCATAAAGCCGCAACCCGGGCTGTTCAAAGGGAAGTGGAGACAGGGAGTTGGGGAGAATCAACCAACAAAGGTATGGACGAGAAGGAGAGGGAGGCGGGTGACTCATCTTTTCTGCTGTATCACACGCTGGACTGGACCACTGGGGTGCGGGCCATCTGCCGCTCTCCTCGTCCAGACAGCTGCCTGCCCTGGACTGTGTCTGCCCTCCTCCTGCCTGAGCCTCTCTCTCTGCGGCCAGGCTGGCTGGAGGGATCCAGCATTCTGAGTGTGCCTTCCTCACAGCTATGAAATCACGTTCTCAGAAAAAGCAGCCTAGATGTTTTTATTTAGTCATTTTCAAACTTTCTTCGTCGGTCTGATTTGGAGCAGACACTGACTCCCTTTCACACATTCTGTGGGGTTTTTGGTGGAACAATTAACTGTGGCCATTCTCAGGAAACAGAGACCCGCTGTGATACCATGTGACATTATGGAGGTTTAGAGTTTTACCTTTATTTTAAAAGATTTATTTATTTATGCATACAGAACTGGGGTACAGGCCAGAGGTGCAGTGAGAGGATTCACCAGAGACAGAGTGGGGAGCAGAACAGGCAGACTGATGAGGTACACTGCTGAGGGGAGCAGTGGGCAGGTCAGGTAGGTTAGGAGGGGTCTGCCATGCCATGTGGGTCACCTCCAGGGCGGCCGGGGATTGAACTCGCACTGAAGCGGCTGCAGCCAGCTTACAGTGCTGCATCCTAACCTGTTGCACCACCAGGAAGGGCCAAATTTTACCTATTTTAAAAATAGGGATGGCCCTCACACATGAAAGAGCGCTTCTCCACATGTGGGAATTCCACTGTAAATAAAAATGTTGCTTCCAAAAATAGGCACTAGGTAGAGCAGAATGCAAGTTGGTGCAGAGCAGAGCCTAGGGAAGGAGAGGTGCCAGGGGTGCCCAGGGGTGGAGGGCAAGATTTTCTAGATGAATCGGCCCCATGGTTTCCAGTCTCACTCGTAGCACTTTTGGGAGTCAACAAGAACAGATTCCTTGCCCTCTATTTTAAATATTTTGACCCCAAGAGTATCTTCTAGTCTTTGAAATGACTGATTAGTAAAATTTACCCTGCCCACTAAATCTGAAATAGCATGGCTTAATCCTTCTTCTAGAATTTGTGCCACAGAAAAACCTAGAAAAAAGTGAAGCATTTCCTCCTCATTTTATTACTTCAATCTCTTACTATGCATTCACAGTGTGCATTCACGGACCTGTGCATTTTAGGGTGCTAAAAATATATAAAGATAAGACACTCAAACAGTTCAAAGTCTAGAGGGAATGTGCATAAGTGAGTGTGTAATCACTAGGTACCATCTGATAAGCACACCTCAGGTTGAGAAACCCACAGGAGATAGTGCAGGAGTGGTTAGGCAAACAGTGTCCCAGCTAACACCAGAGTCGGGGAAGCCGGGCAAACCAGAGCTCGGCAGCAAGAGGTCCCTGGGTGGTGGGCAGGTAGTTACTGGACAGGCAGCTGAGGTGCGTGGAGGGGTGAAGAGGGAGGAGGACTATAAGAATGTAAAGGTGGTCCCCAGTGGCCTGAGACTTGAGTGAAGGTGAATTTGGGGACAGTGGTAATACAGTGACGAATACAAAGAGCTGAAACTGGAGAGACAGGCAGAGGGCCTATGAACTACCCTAGAGAGCATAAACACTTGGAATCACAGCAAGGTCATCAGGCAGAGACAAATCATCCCATTTGGGAAGACGGGTCCCATGTACCCTACAAACAGCTCTGAGCAAGGAAGACCAGCAGCAGGGGGAGCTAAGCCAGGAAAAGGGCTAGAGGATAAGACCCAGGAAGGAGGTGAAGGTCTGGCGGGCTGTTAAGTGAGTGTGGAAGGAGAAGTAAATGTGTCCTCTCAATGTGTAAGAGAAGACAGTGAGGACGAGAGGGTAGGGAGGGCTGACAAACTTTGTTTTGGACAGAGAGAAGCTGGGATGCCCGGGAGACAAAAAAGGAGTGCTCAGCCCGATGAGAAGAAACAGCAGGAGCGTTCATGGGAACCAGGGGAGGCCTCTGGTACCCTGAACACCAAGTGTGGACAGGATTACACAGACAGTGGGGCCAAACGCACCCCCCAGTTGAACCATGGAAGGGTTGATGGTGTGTCTGCTGCGGGTGTGGCGGGAGGCACGGATGGGGCATCTGTGGGGACCTGCAGTGAAATGGTGGAGAGCGAGGCCATGCAGCGCAGGGGTGAGGAGGCTGAAGAGCCCCTGTGGTTTCTGAAGCACAGGCACACAGGTGGGGGAGGATAGAAAGGGCCCTGGAGGGTGTGGTGTGCCTTGTTTTTGTTAAAAAATGTGCCTGGCACCGGTGATTTGGTGATGGGAAGCCCATGGGGATTACAACTGAGATGGAAAAAGGCACAAAATGATGTAAAAATAAACTATTATATTAAAAAAAAAAATGTGCCTGGGCCCTCCCTGGTGGCGCAGCGGGTTAAAGCACAGCACTAAGAAGCTAAAGCCACTTTCACATGAGTTCGATCCCTGCCCCGGAGGTGACCACATGGTGCAGCAGACCTCTCCTGACCTGCCCGCTGCTCCCCTCAGCAGTGTACTTCATCAGTTGGCCTGTTCTGCTCCCCACTCCGTCTCTGGTGAATCCTCTCATTGCCCCTGCACTTCTATTCTGTACCCCAGTTCTGTATGCACAAATAAATCTTTTTAAAAAATGTGCAAAAAAAAAAAAATGTGCGTAGATCCCCAAGCACAATAGCTTTCAGTAAATTTCGAAGGATCCATTTAGACACCCTAATCAATCAGCTTTCCCCCAATAAATAATTACCTCCGACATTTCTTCTTTATATGTGTCCCTACCAACAAAGATATCCTTCCAATGAGAAATGTTACCATTTCATGCTACTGCTTGCTTTACAAAATACATGTCCAGCTCCAAGATGAGATCAGCCAAACACCCTGTGCCGTCATCAGGGCTGCATAGCCAGGGGCAACTCCACACCACTCCCTGAAGGGGACACCAGCACCACCTGCTTGCACCAAACAACTATAGAGCTCAAATGAGGCATTAATGTAGGATTTACTGGTTTAGTCAATTCCTATAGTGGCTTCTTCGCTTTACAAAATGTTGGCGCCGGCAGAAAGCTTGATTAGGAGTGAAGTTCCAAGGACTGAATTAGTCAGACAAGGAAGTAATAAGAGACATGAAGGCCTGACCTGGAAAAGTCAATTATCTTATTCAGTGTTGCCAAAAAATACCCTCCCTCTGGTTGACATGGGGATCAAAAGCAAAAGTCTCAGGTCTCACAGGAAAGAAAGGCACCCAGAAACCTGCCACCTTTGTTCAGCTCTGCCTTTCACGCTAACAGCATCTGCGGCACATTTGAGATTGTCAGGAACAATCTTTTGCCATTTTCTCTCCTGGACCAAGGAATGACTGGGAACACGGTCTGTGAGTCTGCACCACGCAGGCCCCTTTGGAGGAAGCTGCCACCCGCAGGTGTCCAGCCCCTGTCCCTGGACCCCAGGCTGCTCTGCCCAAGAAACAGTCGCTTTAGACTCACCCGGGTGGGGTATCTGGGAGCAGGGTCCGGTCCAGGGGCGCAGAGCCGCCCACAGCCGCCACCTGCCCAGCAGTCATGTGCATCTTGCGGCCCGAGTCCACGACCACGCTGGCGCCGGCCTCCGGGACCGAACGCGCGCTGTGGAAAGAGCTCTGGCGCCAGAACGAGCGGCTGGTGCGGTGGTGGAAGGGCTGCGGCAGGGACCGCACGGCCGCGTAGTTCTCCTTCTCCAGGAGGTTGCCCAGGCTGTGGCTGGTGCCAGGCCGCGCACCTTCGAAGGCCCAGTCGGTGGTGGGGCCCGCGTGCTGCTGCACGTGGTAGGTGTTGTGGGTGCGGGGGGCCGTCCCGGAGAACCCCAACCCCGCCGCTTCAGAGCGTGCGTAACGCGGGGGCATCAGCAGGGTCCGGCGGGCATCGGGGTTGCGAAGGCTGGGCCCACGCGGGGCGCAGCGGGGTTCACACAGGCTGTGCGCATATCGCGCACGCTCGGGGCTGCTGTCGGGCGACACCTCCAGTCTGCGCAGCGGCTGCCGCCAGGTGCGCTCCTCCACCGAACGCTGCGAACTGTGCCAGCCTGGCCCGCGCCCCCAGCGGCTGTCATATGTGGCCGTGGCGCCCCCCTGCGAAGAGAGACGCCAAGGTAGCAGTCAGAGCACCACACGCCCGGGTGGGGCCCGCACCACTGTGGGCCGGCCCTCCAGGCTCCGCTCCGAAACATCCAAAGATATGGCCCATCCTGGGTAAAATCTGTCCTCACCACTCCCAGGTTTGTTTTTTTTAACTGATGTGCCTAACATGTTTTTAAACAAGACTTGGGCGACAGTGATTGGCACTCGGGAAGTGAAATAACCCAAATGCAGTGGCTGCTGGGCTGCAACTGTTTCGGGTGAGCCGGTGACTCTCTGACGGGTTTTGGTGGCCTACCTTGGGCATGTCATAGGTTGCGGTGATCGGGGTTCGCCCACCAGCAAAATTGTTTTCAAGCAAGTGTAGATTGTAGACATATTCAGGCACACTGCTGGTTCGGTGGAGATTCCCTGCAATCAAGAACGAGTTGAAATAAAGTAAGTGGGCCAGTAGACAGCCAAGGATTGCTCAGCAACAGTGTGTTGTAAATTTTGGAAGACCAATAATGAATGGTAGCTTTATATCAGTGTTTTTAAATATCTGCTTCATATGAAACTCTTGGCTGTGGCAAATGGTTGTTAATGGAACATTACAAGCTTTTCAAAATACAAGTTGAATTAAAAAATCTTTTTAATTAATCATTTTCTTTAAGGAAAGTGAAGAAAGGGAAGAGGAAGTTTCTACAAAAATCTAGAAACTACTGGTTTGGGCCCTTGCTGGTGGCACAAAGAGTTCAAGTGTAGCACTATGAAGTTATCCACAGCCACTGTGGCAGCACAAGATGGATCCATGTGAGGAGATGACCGACACAGGCAATCAGCAGACCTCTCCTTTTTTGCCTGCTGCTCCCCTCAAGAGCATACTTCAGTAGATCTGCCTGTTCTGCTCCCCACTCTGTCTCTGGTGAATCCTCTCACCCACCGACCTCTGGCCTGAACCTCAGTTCTTGTATGCATAAATAAGTAAATCTTTTTAAAAAAATTTTTTTTTAAACCCACAAAACACAAAAACTACTGGTTTGTTATGATGCTGAAGAATTTAGGGTGACTTGGAAGGAAAGGGTGTCTGTCCTAACCCCCTCTGCCTGAGTCTCAGCAGGATGCAGGAACTGAGAAGGCCATATCTGCAGGCAATAAAGACAATGGTGACTCAGCACAGCCAGATAAGAGCCCTTGACAAACACAGTGAGCCTGAGGCCCAGGTCTCTGGGGGTGAACAGCAGGTGGGTGGGGGCAGCATTAGGGACTGGAGCAGCAGAGCTGGGTGCAGTGCCTTGGTGGTTTCAGTTTTGGGGTCAGGTAGTTCGTGCACCCTCCTGCACACACAGAGCAACCAGAGGAAAAGCCAGCTAAGCCCCGACCTTGGGGTGTCCCCAAATCCTCTTCTGGGGGGGTACCTGGGAGATGGTACCAATGCCCCCTCTACCTCTTTTATCCTCTTCCTAGCTTTTTATTTGTTCTTCTTTTGTGACCTGCTGCCTTACCTCCCCCCCCCAAAAAAAAAGGCCAATGAAAATAATGAAAGATGGTGTCTCCCTGTCTCCCTGGTGGCCTAGAGGCTGAGTCTCAGTGTTATCACCTCTAAAGCCTAAATTCAATCCCAGGCACAGCAGAACTCTCCTGTCTCGCCTGTTGTTGCTCTCAGCAGTGGGTTTCAGTCCATCTGCCTGTTTTGCTCCCCACTCTGTCTCTGGGGGATTCTCTTAACCCTGACTCCTGCAGTTCTACGCAAAATTAAAAATACATTCGAAAAATAAATAAAAGTATCAAAGGTCACTAAAACCTGGGTAATTTCTAGTGTCCTGATTTTAACCAAGATTTCTGTCACAGAGCATTCTTTCAGAAATCTGAGAGAAAAACAGTCAGTTAGCCCCTCTGGTGGCAGAGACTTGAGAGGGAATTTAGTAAATTTGCATGGTCAGAACATGCCAGTTGACTTCCCAGCAAACTGTCATGAAGACTCAACTTTATGACTCACAATGAATTCTCAGGCTGTCCTGAAGGGAGGGGGATGGACACCTCTGCTGCCAGAGAGTTCTCGAATGTGTGAGTCCACCCAAAGTACGTGTAGACCTATGTCCTTGCTTCCTAGAACCATCTAGCTAGTAAACAAGATCTTGGGAGGCCACCTCAGAAGGTGGCAAACCCCAGACCAAGGGCTTGAGAGAAGCCAGGCTCAGCTGCTTCCACAGGGGTGGGCAAAGGTCAAGCTGTTCTTTCAAGTTTAACCCACATGTCAGAATGCCTGGTCTTGCAGCTGGAATGAAGGAGAGGAATATCCCCCACGACCCCAGGGCTACACCGAGGGGCTGTCAGCCCAGGCTGTCAGCTTCCCAACTCTGTCCCCCCACAATCCTCCCTCACTCTCTGCCCCTCTCTCCAGGCTGTTGGGGAGAAGGGGCTATGTGGGTGTTGCTGCCAGCCGGCAGGCCCAGAAACATTCTGGCTCTGATCCTGGAGTCTGGGGAGCAGGGGCATCCGGGGGATGGCTAGGGGCTGGTTTAGTGACCTGGACCTTGTGCACAGGAGCTGTGGCCAGGCAGAGAGCTGATGGATAACTGATATGAAAGAATCCAATTGGATTGGCATTTTAAAAATAGTTCAGAATTTTAGACTAAAAAAAAATGGAATAAGAAAATTAGGAACAACCTAGCATGGGAAAGTATCAATGGACATATGTGTATGGTGGTGGGGAGCGGGCACCCTTCACTTGATAATAAAATGGCACTGGGTGGAGGGTATCCCTGGCTGGCAGAATTCAAGGCAAGTTTCTGCAGTGGGTCTCTTGAGCTCAAGGTGACCCCCAGTGTTCCCCTGCATTCAGGAGCAGCCAGCTATCCGGGAGCTGCTAAGACTCCCAGGGTGGGAGTGCATGCAGATCTCTGGGCAGCACGCCGAGGCTGGGTGTCCCAGCGGAGGGACGCCCCTGAGTTTCACAGGCAATCCTGTTGGAGCAAATGGCTTACATCCCATCACTATTGGCAGTTGTGAGGCTTTTGAGAGCAACTTAAATGAAAACTTGTTACATTACACTGTCACTTTTCTTTAAGGCACTCAAATTGGTATATACATGTCTTTTCAACATTCTGTGATACAGGGCCAGCTGCTGTCATCGCCCCATACAAAGGGGAAAGCGGAGGATTTGCTCTTCCTTGTAAGAAGAGCTAACACATCTGAACTGAGATCCTCCTTTGTGCTGGTTTGCACCTCCACTGTTCTGTGACCTTTCTGAAAGGGCGATTTCAGAAGCCAGGGAGAAATTATGAGCATGGATTTTGATGAGGACCAAAAGCAGCCATTCCCTTTTACCTGGGGCACTCCTGACATTCTGTAGATTTTCTTTGTTTGTGACACCCTCCTGGGAAGGACACCTCTCCTTCCATTTCACAAGAATGGGCTGAGGCTGGTTAAGTGGTTCCTCAAACAACCATAACAAGGTCCATGGGAACAGGGAGTAAAATGAGACTGGATCTCGATATCAGGACCCCTTCTGCGCAGGAGAGGGGGTGCCTCTGCAGCCTCTGGGACACGCAACTGATGCTTCTCCAGTTAACAGGTCAGGCAGGTTAAGTTCCTGGGTGTTTGCGAATTTGGGATCAGCACTGTGGCTGAAAGAAGAATCAGCAGCTGCGTTATAAGATTTTAAGGAAAATTTGGACTGGGGAAGGGGGTGGATTTTTTTTTAACATTTATTTATTTATGCATACAGAACTGGGGTACAAGCCAGAGGTGCAGGGGCAGTGAGAGGATTCATCAGAGACAGACTGGGGTGCAGAACAGGATGACTGATGAAGAACACTGCTGAGGGGAGCAGCAGGCGGGTCAGGAGAGGTCTGCCGCGCCATATGGTCACCTCCGGGGGAGGGGATCGAACTTGCATGAAGCTGCCAGCTTGCTGCCAGCTTGCAGTGCTACATCCTAACCTGTTGCGCCACCAGGGAGGGCCGGGGGTGGTTTTTTTTTAAAGACACATTTAATCAGGGCGGAAACTACTCTTTTGAAGGCAAGTAATACTTTTCTGTTCAATCGAGAACAAGGTATATAATAATAGATGATTGCACAAGTAAAACAACTCAGACTTAACTGTTTCCAAAAACAGAAACAAGAGAGCAAACAAAAACAGATCCTATATACAAGCACATTCACCTACTTCAAATAAGCCAACCACAAAAATCCAGATTCTTTTAACATGGACAATCAAGATGTGACTATACATTAAAGGACTGGTTTACTTCCGAAGAGCTGTTGGAATCTTTTCGAAGTTGGAGAAAGCTGTGCACGTGGTCTACAATCCAGACTTTCTGTGTGTGGACAAATTTGGATGCCTCCCTTTCCCTAATTTCACCTCCTGGCAGTTGATGGGGGGTGTAGGGGGGGGACCAGGAAGAGAGAAGCAACAGGAAGAAATGAGATGCGGTTTTTTAAAAAGCATTTGTTTTTTACGAATTAATGTGCTTGAGAAGGGGGTTAGGTGGGCATGCCTGCTTTGGTTTACATGGGGCATGGGACTATGTGTCAGGGTATTTATTCTGGTCATTTCACCACTGGCATTGGGTTGATTTCCTGGGTGGCTGTGATGAGCCCAGCAGCTGGGGTATGGCTTCTGGCCAGGGACCTCCCTTGCACAGGGCATAACATGATTTTTGTCTATTCCTCAAGAAGATGATGACTGAAGGGGACTGTTTCAAATGAATATTGGCTCAGGAAGCAGTCTCCAAACCTTTTCTTCCCAGAACACCATGGACATTTTATGGAACCCACAGTAGTTACAGAACAACTTTAAGCTCCCTCCCTTCTCCCCCTCCCCCCCAAATAACAAACAACCCAGGTCAAAGCAAACAACCCAGGTCAAAGCAAACAACCCAGGTCAAAGCAAGGGCCGGCAGGAGAGATGAAGCTGGGGCTTCAGCGGCAGCGTGGGGGCCAGCTCTGTTGGTGGAAGGAGTCCAAAAGCCTGGAGTTTGAAGAGTGATGACCCCACCCTACACCCCAACTCATCGTGGTCTGAATGTTAGTTTGCAAACTATGGTCCCTGAGCAGCATTAGGGTGGAAATACCTCAGCGGGCAGTCAAATACGCTAGTATTGCCTCAGGAACAGGTCCTTGTTCGGACTTAAAGAGGCCTGTTGCTTCCGAACATGGATTTTCCCTTAGTGAGTTGTGTGAGCAGAGGTATCACCTAACTGGGAGTCTGATGCCTATGTGAAATCTAATGGCCAAGTCTCTGGTGACTCCAGTGGGTTTTAGAGCATCAAGATCTGCTACCCAGTGAAATAAAACCACTGTATCGTTTGCTTATAATAAGGCTGTCGCATTCCCGTTCAGAAAAGCACCTTTCCCTTCAAGCCCGGCCCTCGCTGGGCGTGAGGCCAGGTTCACATGGAGCTCCAAGGGGAAGAGTAGAAATGGAG